TCACTCTTGTCCACAGCCCTGGGATCTTCCATCCTAAGAAGGTCTGATTCTGCTTAACTTTTCTGAGATCAACCAAGGTGAATGTGGTTCTGCCATATGCAAATATTCTTGTTATGTTTGCATCACAGGCTATGTCTCAACAAATAATCCATATTGTAGCTTCAGAGGACGAACAACTTCCCACAGCATACTGATTAGGTTCCCAGGGCACGCCTACTATGAATTCCCCAATCCCAAAATAGCTTAGTCTAGCATTGTGCAAAGCTAGCTGCCTTTCTATAGAATTGATATTGTGCTGAGACCAGAGAGTAACTTAAAGCTTTGGAAAAAATCTGTTGATATAAGGTTTCTTTTTCATGCCACTGCTCTCCTCTCTTATGACATTTACAACACATACAAAAAATAGTGTGTGTGTGTGTGTCAATAAATGATGGTATCACCCATCTTGACTTTTTTGACCAACCTTGGTGGACACCGCCCAATTGTAGGCCAATGCGAGAAGGCTTTATCCTCACCAAAGTGAGATATACACCCCCAAGTAAATAAGAAATAAATAAAGGGCTGTAAATTGTGCAATCCAGGAGTTTTGCAGCATCATTTAAAACTTCCTCCAAAGCAAACCAGATATTTCAAATTATCCTTGTTTTACTGGTGAAGAGTTCCTTTTTTTCTACAAATGACCACAGTTTCTGCAAAGTGAGATATAACTTCATATCTCTGCTGTCGCTGACAGATGCTTTCGTTTTCTCATGTAGGCATCGATATCCTTCAACCAGATCGGTGTTAGATGTTTGTGATCTCATTTCACTAGAATACAGGTAAGATTTTAAACAAAATATGGTGGGAATTAACTATAAAAGCAAATGTATGGATAAAATGAGATATAGTCAGAGAAAGAGTTGGCAATGAAATGACTAGAAACAGATAGGAATTATTTGGTATTATAAGAAGGTGTGAAAGAGGCAAGAATAAATATTTGTACAATGTGCAATGGTATCAAAAAGTCTTCCTTTTGAATCATGCAATGGGATGTTAGGGACTCGAATTGTACTCTAAAGAGTTCAGAACTCAAAGCCAAGAACTGGAGAATAAAGTTTCTTCTACTCTCTAATGGAATATTTGAAATTCAGTAGAAGGAATTCTCTGAAAATAAAGAAAGGCTGATTGACACATAAACAGTATTGGTATGAACGGAGAAACCAAATAGCTTTTTTTGCTGGGGTGATTCAATGATATTTCAGTAGCAGTAGCACAGGTTAATAGTGGTCAGACCCCCCCAAAATATACAAATCAGAACACCAAGTGATATTAACAAAATATTTAATACTAGACCATTAGCTCTCTATGGATTCCACAGGCAACAACAACATTTCAAGATGTTTAGAAAACATTTGACTAATTGTCATCTGACAATAAGTCCTGAAGATTGATCAAGATTTAGAATGACAGAGATTGCATTGGTGTTTTCTTGGATTACTTGAGCAGGACTTAGATGGGGCTGGTATATCCCTCCTGGTCTTGTTAGATTTTTTGGTGGTTCTTATTGATCTTAGTATCTTGGTGTACCACCTTCACTAGGGGCTGCGGATTAGAGGTGCATATAATAATAATAATAATAATAATAATAATAATAATAATAATAATAATAATAATAATAATAATAATAATAATAATAATAGTAGTAGTAGTAGTAGTAGTAGTAGTAGCAGTAGTAGTAGTAGTAGTAAAGTAGTAGTAGTAGTAGTAGTAGTAGTAGTAGTAGTAGTAGTAGTAGTAGTAGTAGTAGTAGTAGTAGTAATAATAATAATAATAAATTTGGAAGGGACTTTGGAGGTCATCTAGTCCAACTCCCTGCTCAGGCAGGAAACCCTATACCATTTGGGACAAATGGATATTTTATCTATTCCTTCTTTAGTAGGTGATTTCAGTCTGTGGTAGAGGGGGGTTAATAGGTCACCCTGGTGGTCTCCACATTGTGAGTGCTGCACTGATGGCCTTTTCTCACTGCTCTTTGAAATCTATATGAAACCACTGGGAGAATCATGTGACACTTTCAGTATAATATTTTTAGTTTCCTGATGAGACCCAATTCTATAAATCAATGCCTTGGCCAAAAAAGGGCATGTTGTCAGTATGCTTGGCTCATGCATGGAGGTTGTAAAGATTTGCGTGAAAGTAAATAGATCAAGGGTGGGAAACGATGGTCCCTTTACCCCTTGTGGACTTCAACTCCCAGAATTCCTGCTGGCTCCATGGTGGATCCAACTCCATGCTGGCTCAGGAATTTTGGGAATTGAAGTCCACAAGTCATAAAGGGGCCATCGTTCCCCACCTCTGAAATAGATGGAAGTTAAACTCTTTCACACGGAGTGGTCTGCACACATCCACATAGAGCAGCTTTGCAATTTGAAAGTCCTTCTGGACTCAAGTAGAAAACCAACCTAGAACTAAGGAGAAATTTCTGAAAGTAATAACAATTAATCAGCATGATGGCTTCCCTCCAGGAGCTCTCTTATCAGAAGATATTGGACAGACATTTATCTGGAATTGTATAGAGTCTCAGGCTTGAGCAGGAGATTGGACTAGAACAGACATGTCAAACACAAGGCCCAGGGGCTGGATGTGGCCCGCGAAGTGGTTTCATGTGGCCCGTGAAGCCATCCTGGAAACAGTGAGGGAACGGCCCCCTCTGCCTTGGCCCTGGCCCAGGCCAGCCAGGAGCCAATGTACAATTTTGTAGTGGCCATCTATGCTGAAACGCATTCAGTCTTAGCTCCATAAGCCACCACCACTACCACCCCGCATGGCCTGAGAGGAACAGTGAGGCTCCTCCAATGGACCATGCCTTGGCACTTGCCCTGGTCCCACCCCCTTCTGCCAGAGACCCTCAGATCTATCCCACTCCTGCCCAGGCCCCCACAGGCATCCTTGACATGAACGATGTAGAGCTGGCCACACCCACCCAGTAGGCCACACCCACTCCATCCCCACCCACTCAGTAGGTCGCACCCACCCTGGCCACACCCACCCGGCCCCCTGAGGGCAACCGCAATGCTGATGCGGCCCTCAATGAAATTGAGTTTGACACCCCTGGACTAGAAGACCTCCAGCTATGTTATTCTGCATTCTGTATTCACTGCTCTTCCATAAACAGCATGCAGAGATTATAGCTAGAGGATTCTTTGCCTAGCTTTGATTAGGTATCAGTTTTGATCTTGTCAGGTAAGGAGAGCTTAGCTACTCACATCTTCATTACCACATAGCTGAGTTACTGCAAAACACTTAACGTGGGACTGCCCTTGAAGACTATTTGGAAAATGCAGTTGGTCCAGAATGCAGCAGTCCATGTACAAATTGGTTCTCAGTGTTGGGAACTTATAATACCAATTATGCAAGCCCTATATTCATTAGTCACTGACTTCCAGGTATAATTTAAGGTGCTGGTATTGATCTAAAAAGTCCTCAATGGCTTGGTGCCAAATACTTCCAGAATTTCCAATTCCAACCAGAATTGACTCAATTGTCTAATAGGTCATTCCAAGATGCTGCTATTCCATGAATTATAAGGACAGAGTGGATTTTGAGCATTTTGCAAAGCATGCGTTTAGATGTGCTCTTGGCATGTAATACAATATCACATTATTTTGAGATGAATTAGTCACAGTCTAAAATCACTGGAATCCAATGTAATAAAAAAAAAACCACCAGATCTCTAGTTAAATCTTCTCTTTTTGATGTCAGGTGACCTTAGCAAATCTAATAAACAATAACATTCCAATGTTTTATTCCACATTTTTTACAAATTATCAACATCTAGTTTGATCGTGTTCTCCATCTATTTTTGTGAATACACCATAGGCTTAGAAATTTCCCAAACTCCTGCCAAAAATACAAGAATTGTATTATGAGTTTCAAAAGCTGCAAGCTGGCATTGGGTTAGAGCAGGGGTGTCAAACTCAATTTCACTGAGGGCCGCATCAACATTGCGGTTGCCCTGGGGGGGCCAGGTGGGTATGGCCAGAGTGGGTGTGGCCTGCTAGGTGGGCATGGATGGAGTGGGTGTGGCCTACTGGGTGGGCATGGCCAGTTCTACATCATTCGTGTCAAGGGTGCCTATGGGGGCCTGGGCAGGAGTGGGACAGATCTGAGGGTCTCTGGCAGAAGGGGGTGGGACTGGGGCACGTGCCAAGGCATGGTTCCCCGGGGCAAGCGCCAAGATAGCCACCACAAAATTGTACATTGGCTCCCAGCTGGCCTGGGCCAGGGCCAAGGCAGCGGGGGCCGTTCCCTCACTGTTCCAGGATGGCTTCGCGGGCCACATGAAACCACTTTGCGGGCCGCATCCGGCCCCCGGGCCTTGTGTTTGACATGTCTGGGTTAGAGAATCAGGGAGGGAAGAGGTGAACTAAACTTGCATCTATGTAGTCAGACGAGCAGAACAGGGAAGATGATCTATCCGTGGACAAGATTTGATCACCACTAACCCATTGGGAAATCTGTTTCATGACCATTGAGGCAACTGATTCATCCTTCCCCAAAAGGTCATTTCAAAGTATCCCTAGAGACAGAAAAATGTTCTTCAGCCTGGTGCTTCCCTTGAGGCAGCGTTTCTCAACCTATGGGTCGTGACCCCATTTGGGGTCAATCGACCATTTCACAGGGGTCGCCAAGCAAGGTTGTCCGCCATTTTTTTTGTCTGCCATTTTTTTCCCCCTTTTCCGGCGGCTGCCTTACCTCCCTTGGGCTGGGCCAGCTGGTGGTCGGCCTGCTCCGTCTCTGCCGCTTGCCAGCTACGCCTCGGCCAGCGCAGGGGGCAGAACCACGCATGCGCGGCGCTCCCGGGCAGGGAAAGTCCTCGACTTATGACCGGTTGGGTAGTCCTCGACTTACGACCGGTTGGGGGTCGCGGCATTAAAAAGGTTGAGAACCACTGCCTTGAGGAATAAGAAACACTTTTGTAACATCTGATTATGTCAAATTCCTTTACAGAATCTGAGAAGATGCAAAACAGAATTGTGGTTCTTGTTATCTATATTACTGCCTTCGTCGCTGGTCTGCCTTGCAATCTTCTGGCCTGCTACTCCTTTCTGAGAAAAGTACGTCGCAAACCTGTCCCCATAGATATCCTGCTGCTCAATCTGACCTTTTCTGACCTTTTCCTTCTGATCTTTTTGCCCTTCAAGATGGCAGAAGTTGCCCTAGATTTCAAATGGCCTCTTCCTTCCGTTCTTTGCCCTCTGGCAAACTTCTTCTTCTACAGCAGCATTTATATCAGCACCCTGTTCCTCATGGGAGTCAGCATAGAGCGCTATCTGTGTATTGCCTACCCTGTTAAGCACAAGCTGAACCGCAGACCAACCTACGCAAAAATTGCTAGCCTTTTCTTCTGGTTTTGGGCTTGTTCCCATTGCGGTTGCATTGTCTTCATTGTTCACTACCTCCCTGGGAGTCCATGGAGTCGTGCAAATAGTACTACTTGCTACCATGAATTCTCCGCTGAACAGCTTAACATTGTCCTCCCTTTCCGCCTGGAGCTCTTCTTTGTCCTCTTCTTAATTCCTTTCCTTGTCACGGTTTCCTGCTATGCCAATGTGATCCGCATCTTGAACACCATGCCAAACATTAAGCCCGAGAAGAAGCAAAGGGCCATGGGCTTAGCTGTGGCTACTGTGCTCAATTTCACGGTGGCCTTTGCTCCCTACAATATCTCCCACGTTGTAGGCTATGTGCAGAACCGTAGCCCTCCCTGGAGAATAGAGACATTCTGCCTGACTTCCCTCAATACAGTATTGGATCCTGTTATTTTCTTCTTCTCTTCCTCCACCATCCGGAGGACATTTACGGAATGTTGGATTGGCATCTGCAACAAACTCCGGAAGCATAGATCCGCCTGCTGTCCGTGTTGCTGCAGGTCTTGTAGGGACAATGTCAAAAAAAGAGAAACTGGTGAATTAACTCTTGGAAACCTCCCCAGTATACTGGCAGGATCTAGTACACCCACACCTTTTGCAACCCTTGAACCATCTGTGACATTAGATGGGTGATCACTCAGAAAAGTAGCATCATACAGAGCAGTAACTTCTGACTCCAAAGGACACGTAAGCTAAAAATGATCACAACGTCAAATATATCCAAGCAACTGTGAAACTTGAAAAAACGCCTGCAGAAATTTCATTTTGAGTGACAACTAATGATCAAATCATGTTTGGAAAACTTGGCTGCTCCTGATTTGCTTGTAGCAACTTTGGGTTGTTTTGATTATCATCAAAGATAAGATGACATCTGCCTATAGATCTTAGACTTTCAAGACTTTCAGAGAATTCCATGTTCGCTTTTTTGCAAAAGAATCCAAACTTCACAAAGAGTATTTGAGACTTTGTCACAGGTAAAGAATAATACATATGAATATCCAGCTGGGTCACAGATCTTTGCCCCCAACAGTTGAATGGGTACAATGGAACACACTGATAACACAATAAATATTTTCTCATAGCAGCTTTTACGATGCCCATCCCCTTAGAAAAAAATTCACTAGGTGAAATAATGAGCTGGTACTGTTCAAAACCCCAAACCAGCTAGATCAGGGGTGTCAAACTGCCGGCCCACGGGACGGTTTCATCATACCAGAGCCGCGCCCACCCCATTGCTGGCAATGGCGAAAAAGCTCCGATACGTCACACAACGTAACGTGACGTCGCAAGTTTGACATGCCTGAATACATGCCTGAATAGAAATTTGAATACAAAGTAGATATGAAAAAGATGTAAAAATGTATGGATTTTATAAGGATCAAACTGTGTTTGATAAGATTTTGTTAACCTCAGATGAGAAATTAAGAAAATGTATAACTTTTTGTTAATTTTGGATATGGAAAGTGAACAAGTGAAAGAAACAATGACAAGATGGGCAAAAAAAATTGGCTATAATATAGAATTAGAAAAATGGCAAATGTTATGGGAGAGAAACTACAAATTAACAATGTCAACTTCATACAAAGGAAATCTGTACAAAATGTTTTATAGATGGCACCTGCCGCCAGCAAGATTAGCAAAAATGTTTAAAAATATGTCAGACAGATGTTGGAAATGTAAACATAACATAGGCACGTACTATCACATTTGGTGGACATGTGGTAAGGCAAAGGCCTATTGGAGAAAGATACATATGTGGTTAGAAAAAATATTGGGTGAACAAGTGGACTTTAAACCAGAACTTTTTTTACTAGGTATTATGCCTGAAAAGACTAATAAGCAGAAATTATATTTAATCTTACACATTACTACAGCAGCGAGAATAATTTTTGCACAATACTGGAAGAATGAAGGACTGCCATCAGAAGAAGAAATAATCAGGAAAATATTGGAATGTGCAGAGATGGATAGATTAACTATGAGGTTGAAAGATAAAGAAGATACAGATTACTATCAAATTTGGAACCTATTTTATTCTTGGCTAGAGGAAAGAATGAAGGATTAGGAATTGAACATGTATTAGCATAGCAAACTCCAGACAACTTGTTGATTGGAAAAATTAACATATGTTGATGAAAAAAAANAATATTGGAATGTGCAGAGATGGATAGATTAACTATGAGGTTGAAAGATAAAGAAGATACAGATTACTATCAAATTTGGAACCTATTTTATTCTTGGCTAGAGGAAAGAATGAAGGATTAGGAATTGAACATGTATTAGCATAGCAAACTCCAGACAACTTGTTGATTGGAAAAATTAACATATGTTGATGAAAAAAAAACACAATAAAATCTTTATTAAAAAAGAAAGAAAAAGCTCCAATACGTCACGCGACATCACGTGACGTCGCGAGTTTGACATGCCTGAGCTAGATCATTCTTTTCTTTTAGCACTTGATTGCTGCATCTCCACTCCTCTGACAGTCACGGAGCCTGTGATGGACCAGTATCTCTTAAAAATATTTGTCCAATATGATATCTTTGTTTGAAGGAATTGCTTGTGTAAACTCCTCTGAAACGCAAGGTTTCTTAACCTTAATTATATTTCTGTTCAGTTGTTTAGTTCTTTCGCCTTAGAAATAGCTATCCCAACTTTTAAATCTCAGAGTAAGACAGGGAGGGAAATGAGACTGTGGCAACATTCTGCCAGCAGAAAACAACATTTCAAGAGGTCACATCTGCCTAGAAGATTCACCGGCCTAGATCTACTTTTGGTAGGGTTTTTTTTTTTAGCAGGACCTGAAATGAACACTGATGTGAGATTACTTTAAATCTCCTGAATCTAATTTTCAGTTGTGTGAGAAACCTCAGACGCAACATTCACAGATGTCATTCTGGAACCAACGTATCTTATTTCACCTTGTTGGTTTTGATGGGAAATTGTATGAAACTAGATTATGGTAGATAAAACTTTTAGAGATTCAGAAGAAGCCATCTGCCTGACACCATAGAGAAAGAAATATCTTTATGCTTTTTGAGTGATTACTGTTGAAGTAGCTGCATGTATACAAAGCTCTAGGCCTCGGGTGTGTATTTTTCTATGCTGAAATAAATGGCTTGGTTATTTTTCTTAGAGGCTGTGTTCATTCTTATTGAAAACCAGACAATGTGTTGACTCTGAGATTACTTTCAAGGATGGATTTGGGCAAACACATCTTGTACGTCATGTATCTGCTGTTTCACTGTCCAATTTATCATGGTTTCAAGTAGGCTTCCCATCCCATTCCCACATACAACAGCCTCCTGAAGAACATCTGAAAGTGACACCTTAATCAAGGCTGATTACTATGACCATAGTGGTGGCAGCAGGAAGAACAAGGCGGTGTTGCTGTCTTGTGACTGGTGGATCTTTAAAGAAACTCACAGTAGATACCCATCCTTACCTGGTGATGATGCCACTTAGTTTGGTGCTGGTGATGGATCATAGAAACCAAACCTGGAGAGAAGGGGTGATTTTTGGCTTTTTGGTAGCTTCTTAAATCAAAATCATTCTTTTCCAAGCATGGTTCTTACAAAGTTCTCTGCAGCAAGAATTCCAGCAACTGAACTGTTTTTGGTTTCGAACCAATTTATCCCTGGAGACTTTCTGAATTTCTTTCTAAGTCTTCTTGATTCACAATGGGGAAGCTTGCAACTTTGTGTTTGCATAACAATATCCTCTTTCTCAATTGGTAAACCACATTTTCAGCAACGTAGGAATGGCCACTAGGACCTACCGTAATATAGAGGCAATGACCATAGCCCAGAGTTTTGGTAATGATGGATAGCATAGACATGTATTCAAAGGTCTTCTTTTCAAGTCCTGCTTAATGCTCCAGAGCAGGATTTTTCTGAAATAGGCCAGAGATTTGATATCTCTCTAAAACTTGTCCCCATGGTCTTATTATGTCTGTTCAGAAACCCAAATAAAACATTGTGAAACTGCATTTAGTGGCTCATATTCTGCAGAAGACGGGGAAGATATCCCAAAAAGGAAACACGTGTTTTTTTGTGAAACCTGTTCCTGTAATTTCTCAATCTATCATAGTGGGGCTCCTGATGTAAAGGAGCAATGTTTAAAGTAAGGCAGATACAAAATGCCAAAAATGTAGAACTCCCTTGAGAACTAAAGTGGTCTTAGTGCAATCTACAGAACTTAGAGGAAAGAATTACTTTTTTGGTCTGACTTGCCATATACAGTGAATGACAAATTACTATTCCACCCAGCCTGATATTGCTGACCCTGTATTCATATAATACTCAGGGGGATAGCTTCCAGAGAACTGAAGGAGACTGTTAAGCTTAGGGTAATGAACCGATTAAAACCCAATCACTCAATCAGAATAGAGCTGCGAACTTTTAAAGATACCATGGAATTTGATGAGAAAGAAGGAAAGAAAGAAAGAAAGAAAGAAAGAAAGAAAGAAAGAAAGAAAGAAAGAAAGAAAGAAAGAAAGAAAGAAAGAAAGAAAGAGAAAGAAGCCACATATTACACATGGTAAAATAAACTTTTTTTTAAAAAAAAGCAATCCAATACTTCTTCCACCCACCCCTAAATGCATACGTGCATAAGTATGAATTACTATCAGACAGAGTTGAGAAATAGAACTGCCCTAAAAAAGGCATCTCTATTCATACAAGTTTAGATTTTGACCAAATGAGGAAGTAGTTGAAACCAAGAAAAGTAATTATATTTCTCAGGAAAATCACTGGAACGTGATGAAGTTGCTATTGCTCCAATTGTAAGGGCAGCGTATTCCAAGAAATGCAGTACACTGTTGAATTCCAATTCACACCAGCTGCATGGTTAATGGTCATGATGGGAGTTAATAATAACAATAATAATACTAATAATATTAATAATACTGATACTCATACTGATAATGATAATGATAATGATATTGATGATGATGATGATGATGATGATGATGATGATAATTCACCATCAGTCAGTTGCAAAAGGCAGCCTTACTAGGAACTGCTTCCATCCTGCGACAATATCTGTAACACCTCAAACATCCAGATCTGCCTATCCCAGGTCCTTGGTAAGGACTCAACAAGTAGACAAAAATGCCAAATCCAGTCTGAACATCTGGCTGACTGTGCGATGATTAATAATAATAATAATAATAATAATAATAATAATAATAATAATAATAATAATAATAATAATAATAATAATATTGACCAAGTATTTGGACAGATCATTATCTAATAGAAAGCGCTGAATTGTAAAAGGATACAAGTTTCCTTCTGTTGTTCCACTGTATTACTTATTGTCATGAAGTACTTTTATTGAATTGTAATCTTCCAATCGATAGCTAAAATTGAAGTGGGGCCAAAATCTCATCCAAATATTAAGCAGATCTGACTCTGCTTAACTTTTAAAATATCGTCTTTTTTAAAAACCCTCAAAAATAGGAAAAAGTTTAGGCTTGATCTGAAGATTTATTGTTGGTCACTGCTTTTAGTTTTCTAGTTTAGTCTCCTGATTCTTATGCATAAGTGTGATTAGCAATAAATCCCAAGTTTAATTGGATCTTCATATGTAGACTTGACCTTTCATGCTTTACATCAGCAGAGTCAAATTTGCTTAATGCTTGGATGCAGTGGTGGGATTCAAATAGGTGAACAACCAGTTCTCTGCATGGATGCCACTTCTGGAAGTCCATTCTGGGCCTGGGCAACAAAAAATTAGCTACCAGTTGTGTTGAACTGATGCGAACTGCCTGAATCCTACGACAGGAAGGAAGGAAGAGAAGGAGGGAGGGAGGGAGAGAGGGAGGAAGGAAGGAAGGAAGGAAGGAAGGAAGGAAGGAAGGAAGGAAGGAAGGAAGGAAGGAAGGAGTGGTGGGATTCAAATATGTCAACAACCGGTTCTCTGTGTGGATGCCGCTTCCAGAAGTCCATTCTGGGCCTGGGCAACAAAAAATTAGTTACCGGTTGTGCCGAACTGGTGCAAACTGGCTGAATCCCACCACTGCTTGGATGGGTAGCTGCTAGGAAATCCCAAGTTGAAGAGAATAAGATTATATTGAGAAATTTTAGGGGGGGGGGGGAAACACCCAGAGAAACAATGACAAATTACTTCCATGCTGTTACCAAGAAATATGCCCATGAAATCAACAAATGAGCTTGGCAAGAGATTACTCAATGTTGACTTTTATAAAGCAACCGTCTTAATAAATACATAAATCATACAGTATGTACATATTTTAGTCTTCATAAAGCTAAGGTCTCTGTGAAATAAACCAAACTGCCCCCTACAGTTCCTTTACTTTCATTGGTATCTGGACTAACACCATGACATGAACCTTCATTATAAATATAGAAGCATCTCCCTTACTGAAACATTTAAATAAAGATTTAAATAAATTGTCAGTCAAAAGAAGAAGCCTAAAATATTTGTATTAAATAAAAGTGTGAAATCACACCAGTGCCCTGGACTAGAACATGCCAAGAAAAAAAAACTTTGAGAAATCTTTCTAGTCCAGAAAAAAAAAAAAACTGTTTTACATGCAGGTAATCCCCTATTTACAACCACATTAGGACTAGAATTTCCATGATTAAGCAAAGGGTTTGTTAAGTGAGTCACACCCAATTTTATGACCTTTTTGCCGCGATTGTTAAGCAAAACATGTGGTCATTAAGTGAAACATGTGGTCATTAAGCAATCCTTTCCCCCCCCCCATTGACTTTCCTTGTCAGAAGCTAGCAGGGAAGGTTGCAAATGGCAATCACATGAGCTTGGGCTGCGAGAGCCGTTACAATGCGATATTGCAGGCTGGCTTTGCCCACAGCCAGCAGTTCGATCCTGACCAGCTCAAGGTCGTTACAGCCTTCCATCCTTCTGAGGTCAATAAAATGAGAATCCAGATTGTTGGGACAAAAGGCTGGCTCTGTAAACCACTTACAGAGTACTACTACTACTACTACTACTACTACTACTACTACTACTACTACTAATAATAATAATAATAATAATAATAATAAGAAGAAGAAGAAGAAGAACAACAACAACAACAACAACAACAACAACAATACAACAACAACTTTATTGTCACTTTGAATATACACCAATCGGTATACATCAAAATGAAATTTCGTTGCTTACAGCACTCAAAGGGCCACAACCTCCGATATACACTCCTTGTTCGTTTCAGAAGCGGTAAGAAGCGGTATGTAAGTCTAAGTGCTATTGCTATTGCAATAGTCATAAATATATACCAGTTGCCAACCATCCCCATTTGGATGATGAATACTATTTTTTTTCAGTGCTGTTGTAACTTTGAATGGTGGCTATATGAATGAATAGTCGAGGACAATATATATATTTATCCTTGGGGAAAAATTACTGTAGCTTGATATGGGCATGTTCTTCAAAAGACTGAAGGTGTGCCATGCAGAAGAAGGCCATGATCTGCCTTCATTCATACTACAATGTATGATCTTGAGATACACAAGATGAATAAAAAAAAGATGAATGAATGATGGATGAGCAATGATAGGG